GATGAGTTTCGGAGAAAGAGGTTAATTAATGATTTATTAATATATTATAAGAATAATATATTAATTGAGAATTCATATTATTTAATTAGTATTGATCAAAAATTAATTTGGAATTAATTTAGTGATCAAAAGAGACTAATTAAAAGAACGAGGACTGATTATGTAAATCAGTAATAGTTGTAGTTTGGGCTAATGGACCCTATTGATAAGGGGTGGAAGAAAATCTATGGGAAGCCCATAGAGTTTTCGTCCAGGGCCTATCATAGGGGTCTATGGATTGCTTAGGGACTAAACAAGGGAATTAGGGTTTCCAGTTGAAAACCCTAGTAGCAGCTCAACTATAAAAGGAACCCCAAGGCTCCTAAAATCGGCCACTTGATTCCCTAGAAGAAACCCTGGCCGATTTGTGAAGCCTCCATCTCTCTCTCTCTTGTTCATACATTGCTTGTGGTGTTTGTGACTCCATTAGAGGTGCAGCACTTGAGGCACTAAGCTCTTGAAGGTCAAGATCAAGCAATCAACAAGAAAGGTATTCTTCTAACTCTAGTTTATTCATTGACTTCGAAAATTGTATGCTAGTTTAGGGTTCTTGCTTTGGAAAATTGATTTGCATGTATAACTTGAGAAAAACCTAGATCCAAAGCAAATAGGGTTGCATGTGCACCATAGGAATGTTGTAATGCTCAAAACCCATCATCAACATGGTAACTTTCCACTGGTTCTTCAGACTCAACTTCATAATTGACTAAATTACCCTGACACACTTCTTCTTGAGTTTCAATTTCAACTTCAATGACCAATCCCTTATTTGTTTTCTATGTGGTCATGGTCACTCCTCCACTCACATCCATAACATTACTTTGTTGGCTAACCAATGACATTACATATGGAACAACAGTCTTAGAATGATCATGCCCTTCATCCATATCTATTACATGTGAATGCTCAACAACATAGTTGACATGGTGGTTTAAATCAAGCTTTTTGCTATATGATCATACTTCTCTTGTACAAGGTTTTTTTTCTATTCATTTCTGGTGACACTCTCTCGGGTTCCAGTTCCTTAATAACAACTTTCGAAGGAGACTTAAAATAAGTAGGTACCCTAGTCTGACCATTTTCAATATACACCCTTTTAAGTCTGTGTTTAGGGACATACGAAGCCATTTTAAGTACGTCTTGCTCATTACCTAAAGGCAATAATATATAGCCTTAGGGGTATATATTCAGGATATAATGGTTGTAAAGGGTCTATTCAGTTTTGTACCCTAATTCTCTAACCATGTCATCAAGTTCATGGATTGAAGTGTCAATGTCATCTACGTATGATACAGTACCGTCGATGTATTTCCTTTCAGGTGCCTTGGTGAAAATACCAGCTTCAACGTGAAATAATTGTCATATCCTTCTGCAAACACAAAAATAGACATGGTAAAGACGATGATTTCTCTTCATGAACGCATTCAAGAAAAAAAAACTGAATTTTTAATGAACAATAATTCCCATTATTTTAGATGAGGGTTATGAAAGTGGATAGTAATTTCCAAATATTTACCATCATGCAATTGTTATGTTTTAGCCATTGGTCAATAATTTTAAAAAATGTAAGACTTTGATCAGTTCCCAACATTATTGGTAAGAGGAGTTTAGATCCTTCTCGGTAGGGAATGGTTATGGGTAAAAAGTCAGATCATTATATTTGAAATGGAGATAATGACTTGCCATCACTCAAAACACTGCCAGTGTAACTTAACCATCACAACTCTTGCTTGATTTCTGAGCAAACTGCAAACTCATCTGGTTAATTAAAAAAGCTAAGGGTGAATCTTGAAAATCTCAAGAGACATGCAACCACCATTAGGTAAGCTATCTCCATGCGTTCGTATTCTTTACCTTATTCTTGGCCTTTTTAATTCAGCAAAGGAGATTCTTCTGTTGTTGCGTTAATTATAGAAGTATCCAAGAAGCAGGTTTAAGTGTCAGGGAAATGGTTTTCAAGTCTGCATATCAGTTCTGGCAGAACCAATGCTACCCCTTTTCTGTTTTAAATCTGCGCATATGGCCTGTTTTTCTTTTGGTTTTTTCTCAGAGATCAAGTATGGTAAAGTGATTAATATGTTTCCTGCAATATATAGTGTAAGGTATATATTTAATATAACAAGTTGATAATGTAATTTCAGTGGCATTTGATCCGCTGGATCCTTTTGGAAATATAACTATCAAATGGGATGTGATCTCCTGGACCCCAGACGGTTATGTGGTGAGCTTCCTATATATTTTCTTCAAATTCATCTGGAAGAAAAACTTCCTCTTGAGTTAATCGTTTTCTTGTCATCAAGATTAAAAATGAGATTCGAGGAGTGTAACAAAATATAAACTATATCTTGCATGCAGGCAACAGTGACAATGAACAATTTTCAAATGTATAGGCATATCATGAGTCCTGGTTGGACCCTGGGATGGAATTGGGCTAAGAAAGAAGTGATTTGGTCAATGGTGGGAGCCCAAACCACTGAACAAGGAGATTGTTCTAAGTTCAAAGGAGGAAACATGCCACATTGTTGCAAGAGAAACCCTGTGGTTGTGGATTTGCTCCCTGGAGTTCCTTACAATCAACAAATATCCAATTGCTGTAAAGGCGGAGTGGTGTCATCATGGGGCCAAGATCCCTCTGCTGCTGTTTCCGCTTTTCAAGTGAGTGTCGGCCTTGCTGGCACTTCCAATAAAACTGTAAAACTGCCAAAGAACTTCACTTTGCTCGCTCCTGGTCCTGGCTACACATGTGGCCCAGCAACAATTGTGCCTTCTACAGTCTATCTTACTCCTGATCGCAGGCGAAAGACTCAAGCATTAAGTAAATCTATCTATGTTTTTCTGTTAATTAAAAGTTGTATAAACCCACTTTTAAGTAACTCTAAAATGGTTGATTATCCGGATGCAGTGACATGGAATGTGACATGCACGTACTCGCAGTTTTTGGTATCCAGGCATCCACGCTGTTGCGTGTCCTTTTCTTCATTCTACAATCAAACCATCACTCCTTGCCCAGCTTGTTCCTGTGGTTGCCATAATAAAGACAGGTGTATCAAGTAAGGGTTTCAGTTATATATATGTACAAACATTAATTGCTACTAAAACAAATTATATATGCTAATGGTGTGATTAATTTGATGATTGATAACAAGTGCAAATTGTTTTTAAATGTGTAGGAGTGATTCAAAGAGGTTGAGCACAGTGGGTATAAACACTCCCAGAAAAGATAATGAGCCACTGCTACAATGCACTCATCATATGTGCCCCATACGGGTGCATTGGCATGTGAAACAAAACTACAAAGACTATTGGCGTGTAAAGATGGCTGTCACCAACTTCAATTACAGACTCAACTATACGCAGTGGACTCTTGTGGCACAACACCCAAATCTCAACAATGTTACCCAAGTTTTTAGCTTCGATTATAAGCCTCTTGTTCCCTATCGATCCATAAGTGAGTCAAAGTATTCTTTGCAACGTCTTTAATATGAACTGAAGTTTGTTGAAAGAGTGAATCCTGTTTCTGTTGTGCAGATGACACTGGGATGTTTTATGGAATGAAGTTCTATAATGATTTGTTAATGGAAGCTGGGCCCTTTGGAAATGTGCAGTCAGAAGTGCTTATGCAGAAGGACAAGAACACCTTTACATTCAAGCAGGGATGGGCTTTCCCTCGTAAAGTCTACTTTAATGGGGAAGAATGCATGCTTCCACCTCCTGAGACATACCCTTCGCTGCCAAACTACGCTAGCACTGAATCAATCATAATTTCAGCCATGGCAACTTCTTTGTTTTGGTTCTTACAGTTTTTCATTTGTTGATAGAGTGTCAATTAAGGTTTTGTTATCACTAGTTCATGCATGATCATTTTGATGGCAACTATTTTGTGCGAATAGATATCTGTGTGCATCTATATTGGAACGTATGATATATAGTTCTTGCCCACTAAATTTGTTTGCAGTTCCCTCTAGTGATGTTTTTAAATTTCATTTTCTTTGTATATGCATTCTGATGCTGATTATTGATGCTCAATTGAGAATTTGGGATTAGTAAACGAGTTATTTCTCCAATTTGCTCAATTGATTGGGTTCCTTAAGTCAAGTTGAATTTAGAACTCATTTCTCCATAGTAGCTAGGTTGATGTATAGACAAATGTAAATTCCACGTTTTATTGAATAGATCATGAAAAAGTGAACAATCAAATGATCAAGGCATTAGCATACATCATATGCCGAAAAATATCAAAACAAAAAACATAGAAATGCAGTTATTAGAAAAACGAAATTAATGAAAGTAAAAATACTTTTTCAGCATCAAAAAACCCTAGCCTCGACCTTGCACACCAAAGGCTTCTTCATCTCCAAAGACAGGTTCAAACACTCTGACAAATCAACAGAACCAGAAGTACTGGGTGCAACCCATTTGAAGTTCTGTAGCAACTGAGCCAACCAAAGCTCAACAGTAGCCAAACCCATTGCTTTCCCTGGGCAAACCCTTCTGCCAGCACCAAAAGGAGCCAACCTTAGATCAGAACCCATTATCGCAACATCCTCCTCCATGAACCTCTCAGGTTTAAACATTTCAGGTTCAGACCAAACCCGTTCATCATGGGTTATGGCCCACATGTTCACCATGGCTGTCGTCCCCGCTGGAACCATGTGTGGTCCAACCTGAGTGTCATGGATTGCAAGACGAGCCCAGGAAAGAAGAGGGCCAGGAGGGTGAACACGCAAGGTTTCCTTCACAATTGCTTGGAGATAAGGAAGATTAGGCAGGTCGGAATCTGCAACTGCTCGACCTTTCCCAACAACATTATCTATCTCAGATTGCGCCTTGGATTGAATGTCCTGGTGCAACACCATCCTTGCAAGAATCCACTCCAGAAGGATGGCCACTGTGTCTGTTCCCCTAAAAATCATTTCCTGTTAAGAAATAATTAAAGAAAGCTTCAAATGATGAGCTAGGGAAACATTCTAATTAGTCCCATGTGTGGAGCAACATATTACATATATTATATAGCACAGTAAACAAGGCAAATTAATAAAAATAGAGATATGTATGTACCCAAAGAACGGCTATCATGTCAGCATCATTCAACTTGTTTTCAGATTCCAAATCAAGCAAAACATCAACAAAGTCGCCATCAGAAACTTCAGCTTCTTCTCTTATATTCTCCGATCGTTTCTCTCTGTGTTCTACAATTATCTTGTCAACGAAAACATTAACTTTGGACACCAAAACTCTGCACCTCTTCCTCACCCCTTGGAAGTCAAACCAGCTTACAACTGGGAAATGGTCACTCCAGTTGAAGATTCCGAGAAGCTCATATCCTTCGCTGACTAGCTTCTCCAGCACATATCCATCACCAACATGGAAGTCGTCATAGGACTTTCCGAATACGGACATCATGACGTTGTTCAAGGAAGCAAAATGAAGGATCTTTTTCACCTCAACGACGCCTTCGTGTTGCATGGAAGATGAAACTTGATCAACCATTTTCAATCCTATCTTCTCTCTGAATACCCCGAACCCAGATACCCTTTTGGGGCTAAACAAATGGGTGGCAGAGATTCTCCTGAGGTTCCTCCAGTAATCACCATATGGAGCAAAACCCATGGCACGGTGGAACAAAAGCTCATAAGCAGACTCCTTCACTGGCCTGTCGGCAAAAGCAGAACTTGAAAGGATTTCTTTGGCAGTTTCAGGGTGGCTTGATATGATGAAACGTGTGAAGCCGACAGAAAAAGCCATTAGAGGTTTGGCATTAAAGGCCTTTGAGAGCTCGGCAAGGGTTCTGTGTGTTAGAGATGATGTAAAGGCAAACACAAGGCCTAAAATGGGGAACCCAGTCGGTCCAGGAATGGCTGTTTTGGATCGGGGTTTTGAGAGAGACCATGCTAGGCCACCTGGAGCAAGGACGAACGCAAAGATGGAGACAAAAACAATAGTACAAAGGAAGAGCTCGAAGCTGAGCACAGATGAAGCTGAAGGTAGAGTACTGTAAATAGCTGCTGAAGTAGACATTTTTAGAGGAGACAAAGAGAATTGGTGGAGTGATGAAGCGGGAGGTCCTTACATCTATTATATAGGAACGAACACTAGAGGAAATACAGCTTGGTGCTACTTCTTAATTACAAGAAAAATTAATGGTAATAAAATATGCGTATCTTTGCATATTTTGTAAGCACGCGCGTTACACACGGATACAAATTCATTCAATTTGTTACCATGTACAGATTTACATTCTCACTATTTTGCTTCTGATTTTATGGACTTTCCTTATGTATATATGTTTTATTTATAGCAACTACATTTTTTCTTATAAAAATTTCTATGTTTTGAACATTATTTTGAAATGATTTTGTAATATATGCCCTAAAGACAAGTATCAAAACATTAATTGAAGTATTAATTATAGATAATATTATTATAATTAAATGTAAAATACATTCGTTATAAAGAATATTACTTATAATTAATATTTATCAAATTTAATTATGATAATATTTCTTATAATTAATATATACTATTACTATAGTTAAATGTAAAATACAAAGAATATTATTTATAATTAATATTTATCAAATTTAATTATGATAATATTTCCTATAATTAGTACTTTAATTAATTTAATTAATGCTAAAGTTTGTTTTTTTAAATATATTTATCAAATACTTTGAGGTCGAGGGTTCAAGTCCCGTGATGGACATAGATGGAATTAGGTGTTAATTTAGGAGTAGATTATAATATTTATATTTGTCGGTTCAAAAAAAATAAAAAAAAAAACATATGAACGGCAACTTTATTAACAAACAAACATCAAATTTGATCCAAAGAAGTGAGAGAGTTTGGCTGTCGGCAATTTTATTAACAAACCCACATCAAATTTGATCCAAAAATGTGATAGAGTTTGAATGACAATAGCCACATTGGTTGCCTTTGTTGCTATGTGAGCCTAATTCTACATCATGGGAGTGATTGGTAGCTTCCTTTCCAAGTATTTAGGACAATGCAAACATTTTTTTATTGTTTTCTTCAATGATGCAATTTCATGATGTGTTTTCTTCCAACCTTGTTATCTCCAACATATCCACTTCTAACATTCAAATTCTTTATCTTAGCACCTAGATCATGTAAACTTGACCTTGCCTCCTGGAAGAACAACTTGTCTTTCTTGTTTTTTTCATTTTTTTGGTGTATTCTCCGTTCCACTTTTCCTTGTCTCATCTTATCTCTTTCTACTGTGATTTTATATTTTTATTGCACAACTTTCTTTCTAAACATACAAAAATCATAAATATAATACGAACCATTGAAAAAACTTATTTTTATTAGTTATAATACTTTCAATATAATAATAATTGTGGTTTAATGTCGGTTTTATAATGTATAAAACAATAATGAATAATAGAAACAAAAGTCATATATTTTGGTAAATTGGTAGTTTTGGTTTTTAAGTTTAGAAATTGATAGATTGCATTCATATGGTTTTTTGAATATTGCATTACAGTCCTTGCTTCATATAAAATTAGGGGTGTCGATCGGGTAAAATTTTCTGGTTTCGGGTAGAACGGGTCTGGTAGAATGAGTATTTCCTTAAAAAAAGCAATACCCGATACACGACCTATATTGTAATTCGGGTTTTCGGGTAATTATCGGGTATACTCGAAAATGTTTCTTTTTTTTTTTTTTTTTGCATTTCGGTTGGTTTAATAAAAAATTGGGTAGCAAAATATTTCATTTCAAGTTAAATTGTAATCTCAACTACAACAATTTATCATGTTTATTATTGGATTAAATAACTCTTCTACCTCTTCTAATAAACAAAACTTTTAAATGCAACATGTCCCATTTCTAACTAGGCTAATTGATACTTGGCAATTTTTAAGAAATTCCTATTTTTCGATTTTTTTTTTTGGTATTTACTTATTTTCCGAAAAGTATTTATAAGGAATTCAAAATTCAAAATTCAAGTTTCCATTTGTTTGGTAATTTTAAAAATCTTTCATTTAAAATTTTTTTTAAAAAAACATCATATCCTAATAACATAAATATTCGAAAAACTAAGAAGTAATTATAAAGAATTTTCAACTTTTCCGGGTTTTTTTTTTTTTTTTTTTGTAACTAATAAAACCATTTTTGATTTAAAAATTCATATACCTACTATAATCCAATTTCATGCTTCTTATTTAAAGTTTGAATTTAGTCTCTATACTTTGTTAGTGTACCAACATAAGTACGTGTAACTTTTTTTTCCACTAATTTTTTATCCATGTAATTACTTTTTTATCTTTAAATAATTATCAAAAATTATATTAGTTTACTTTCAATCATTAATACGTTTACAACTTTTTTTAAAACAATAAATTATTATTGTTAAATTTTAGTTTACAAAATTAATGTTTCATCATTAACGTTTAAATTTTAAACAATTTTATACATACAAAGTGCTTAGTAATAACATACAATAACAATGACTTTATTATATATTTATCTATACACTTTTATATAGTATATATTCCTTTTATAAATTGTTTTTAACACCTTTGGACGTCAAAAATCCACTCAAATTGAAAATGAGATAATTTTTATTGGTTGTTTGTTTTGCTATGACCATAAATAAAAGTCAATGTCAATCGATGTCAAAGGTTGATTTTTTATACAAGAACCAATTTTTCTCACACGGTCAGTTATATGTTGCTTTATCCAAAAAAAAATGAGCATATAATGACTAATGACTGAAGTTATTGATTTTAGATAAAAAATTGTAATTTAACCAATAAAACGTCAAATAATAAAACGGCAAATGATATATACAAAGAAGTATTATAAATTGTAATTTAAACGATTTTCTTTTTTACTTATCAAATTCATCCGGCTTTACTTACAAT